TAATAGAAGTGTTTCCTGGAAGAGACAATAATGTCCGAGTGGTTAGACTAAAAAACTGTGCACGGGGACATTAAACGTCCTATTACCAAACTGTGTCTTTTACCAGTTGAAGAACATTAACTTAAGTGTTTGGTTTATATTGAATATGTTTTATTATTATTTTCATTTCTTATTGTACTAATAATTTTATTTGTTTGTTCTAGTTTAACCCTCATAGTTAACGTTTCAATATAGTAAGATATAAGATGTTTTGCTAGAAGATTGGTAAGTGTAATATGTAATTTTATACTTTTTGAAGGTTCTTGTATGTTTTCAGTTTCTATATTTTTCATTTACTTGTTTGCATATATTGAAGATTGTATTAAGATGAATGTAATTCATCGGGGGGGGGAGGAGGTGTTTGGCCTCCTCGGTGATTGCGGTGATTTGTGCCCAGAGGGCGCACCTCACAAAAAGTTAGTTGCGTTACAGAACGTAAGGGAAGCGGACACGCCAAAATGTCGGGCGTATTACCGCTAATTGAGGTAATTGCATCGTATCTGTCAGGTGGCAGAAACTAATATGATGTATCAATTCACATGCCAGGTGGCAGAATATGTCTATCATGTACATGCCAGGAGGCATAACGCTTGTAAATATGCCAGGTGGCATACGACTTGTAAATAAATTGTAAATAAATGTACAGTAAGATATCTTGGTGCAATGTATCAAGGAACACGCATCAACAACCTTCTGATCATTTGGATACGTACACCCTGTTTAGAAAGATCAATTTATTTATATCCAGTCTTATTTCACTTACTTTTAACTTTAATCCACTTTTAATTTTGTTCTGTTTTTATTTTCCAAATATAACATTGAAAAAAAATCCTTGTTCACACAAAGAGGTTGTGCAAAAATGGTAATAAAAATTTAATAGATTTATTTGAAATGCCTTTAAATTCCCCCCCCCAGTTCAGCCAAAAGTTAAGAAGTGTTTTATTGTTGAAATCTTCAATTAGAGTTCGATCACAGGAAATTTCTATCAACTATTCTTTTTCTTTTCACGAGATACAATTTCAGGTAAATTCAAAATGGATTCTAATCCAATTTTCTTTTTCATAATCCTCGGGATAATACATTTTAAAATTTTTTATCAACAAAAAATAAGGATTTTTGTTGTTGGATGCTAATTCTTCTTTTATTTTCAAATTACTTTCAATTAGAAAACTTTCTAAAAGTGGTAAAAAGGCTTAAAATATAATTATCCAATTCTTTTATTATTAGATCGAGATTTTTTTAATCATTGCATTTATTTAGTCTCTAATTGTAAACAAATTACACTTGTCCTTGCAATTCTAAATTTAATTCATTAAACTTTCCAAAAATATCAGTTAAATGTGCACCAACCACAATTCACAAAATAAACATTTTTGCAATTCAAATTTTGAATCGCAGAGAAAAATTTGATTTCTGACTGAAGTTCAAAAAGATGATTTAAAACTTCGCCTCTGGATAGCCACCTTACTTCGGAATGGAATGAAAGCATTTCATGTTCATTGCCCATCTCTTGGCATAAAATCATAAATATTCTTGAATTTAAAGGTCAGCTTTTAACAAAATTAACAATTTTCACAACTTGATTCAAAACGATTTTCAAATTTTCCAGGATTGTTTTGGCTACTAAAGCTTCACGATGATCACGAGAAATGGAGCAGTGAGTAAATTTAGTTTCAGGTGATACTTTCTTTACTTGAGAAATAACACTGGAATATATTTCCTACTAAAGGCCAAACTCCGTCACTGCACACTGCATTGCTTTATTCCAATGAATATCACTCTCATTAAATTGTCAAATACGTTGAAAATTTCATTTGCAGTAGCTCTATCATGACAAGATTCACAAAATAAATGCTCTTTGGCAATTCGTTCATCTTCCTTGAAATGCACGTAAACTAATGATTCAACAAAATTAGTTATATGAGTACTTTCATCCAACTGCAATGCAAAATACTGTGTTTTGTTTTTTGAATAAGTGTCTCTTTTATTGAATTTGCAATTTCATGAATTCGTTGACTTACTGTATCATTTGATAATGGAATATTATTAAGTTTTTCGCTGCATAATATTAAAACGATATCCTTAGCTGCTGCTAATATAAGATTTTCTCCAATAGTATCAGCCTGCTCAGTCTTGGCAATTCTTTACTATTTTTGAACTCTGAAAATTTCCTCTTAAAATATTCTTCAGATTTATCCTTTAAATTGGCATATTTAAATTCAAGATATCTTATAAGAAATGATGATTTCATACTTTGATTGGATAACAGTTCACCAAAAACAACACATTAAGGTTGAGGGTCCATTTCATCTCCATTCCAAGTAAACCCGAATGATAAATAACTTTCATCATATTTCCTATAAACAATTTTTCTTTTCTTTTCAAAATTGTTAGTGCTAATAGATTGTCTTGCATCCATCACCTGTGAATCATCACTGTTCCACTTAATCAATCCAAGCCATTTTTCCAATTCGAAAATCTACTTTTGTTTTATTATTTTTCCACAAATATTTAAATGCACAATATATTACAAATTCTTCAAAAATAAAAGACAACATTCTCAAATTGCATAAAAGAGTATCAAATACAAAACAAGAAGAAGACAAAATACCTTCTGTTAGACAAATCGATGTAAAAAAATTATTGTAATTGAAAGAAGAGCAAATGTGAGCCCGAAAATGGTGGTGACATAGAGTGCAGATATGCTAATAAATCAGTCAACTCTAAAAGAATTAATAAGATAATATTATTTTTTATAGGAACTTATTTCTATTTCCTATTAAATATGACATCCATTGCTATTACTCCTTTTAAAAAAATCATTTATGGCAAATATTGTTATATCTATGGCTAAAAGAAAACAAATTATTTTGCTAAAGTCTGCGAACGGCTGTTGACCTTAGACAAAGCTCAGATCGAATAAATGAGTATTAGCAGAAAAAAAACAGTATGTTGGTGTATTCAGTTAATTTAATAGTTAAAAATACTTTGCTTCTTTGAGTACCACCGGTTGAAAATCACTGGGATAATCTATGGCACATAACTAACATTCAGGGACTTCTGGAAGAATCATTTTAATTTCTTCCATTGCTTAACTCTCTTTAACAAAATCTGACAATAAGTGACGTACAGGACCATGATGGCCAGATTGGGTAGCAGGTTGAGAGACTCCCTTTTTTTTTTTTTTTTTTTTTACGTGTCACTGTGTCTTTAGACAAAACCAAATTAACAATGAATATGTGGAGAAGTTATTAATGAAAAATAAATGCACTCAAAAAGAAAGAACTATAACAGCTTTTAAAAACAGCAAGAAAAGGCGATTTGGAATACACGTCTTCTGAATGACAGGAAGAAAGAAAAATAATTTTAGTTTTCTGATTTGCAAAGTTTGTGCAAAACAGGATCAGATGCAAAGTTTCCGTGTAACAATATTACCCTGATAAAGTAGAAGCAAGCTACAGCATAAACATTTTTAATGATAATGCAATATCTCACTTTAGAAACATCTGAAATGAAGGCTACAAAAATTCCCAATGAAAAACTTTTGAGTGAAACACATGTCCAGTGAGCCCCAAGAGGCTGAATGGCAGCTCACAAGGAAACATGACAAAAAGATGCCCCTTAAAGATAGTTGTATGATACTTTTATGGAAGAAAATTTTGCATCCAAACAATAACATCTTCATTTCCCACTTATGCCATTTCCTTCATACATTCTCATTTGCAGAGATACAGTAAAATTTTAGTTTAATTAAAAGTTGTGGTCCAGACACAAATTAATCCATTTTACATTAATTCCTATGGGAAAAAACTGTTTTGGTTTCCGAACATTTCACTAGACAAATGGCTTTCAGAAATAAACTAAGCTCATGAACTGAGGTTTCGCTGTATTAAAAACAACTTTGAATGCTGAGATTATGAATTCACTTTATTAAAATTTGTTAAAAAATTTGTAATTATTAAAAAAACTCATGTGGACATCACAACTTCCTTGTATGGCCTATTAAACTATGCAAATTTTTTGTTGAACTTGGTTTAAACTTATTTTCTTGAACTATTCTAACTTAATTAACCATTCTTTCAAGCATTCAATTAACTATCAAAACCGTGAAAAACAACCTTATATTTAGCGTAGGTATAATGATATACGCTAAATATAAGGTTGTTTTTCACGGTTTTGATTGTCACATTAGCGTGTTTCTCTTCTAGTCTATTCAATTAACTACTTTTTCTAATTTTAAGTTGAAAATTATATCAAAAACTGCAAATTTTGAAATTAAATATTCCAGTCAATTTTTGTCATATGACAGTTAAAGTTCTCATAATTTTATTTTTCCATTCAATTTGAGTATAAAACTTTTCTAAATATAAGTACAGGAACCAAGACACGGCATTAAAAGGTTGTCGATTCATTGTTTGTCGAAAATTAAATTTAAAAAAAAAATTTGACATTGCCATAACATTTTTGTAATTTAAAACACTTTTATAATCCTGTCTGTATGACTATGACCAACAATTTCAAAAATAAAGGCTAAGGATTTTTAAACTGGGTAAGGGGGTAGGTATACATATATATAATGTTTAATTTTGCCAAATGAAATAAAAAAAGGAAATGCGCAGATAGATGTTATAGCAGTCCCATATGCAAAATTGCAATGCTTTACAGCTAATCATTTTTCAGTTATGCGAGATAATACATACGTGTGCATACAGATCTCGCAAAAAAAAAAAAAAAAAAAAAAAAAAAAAAAAAAAAAAAAAACCTTTTCGAATCCACTTTAAATCCATTTTACAATTTGTTTTGAGAAAAACAATCCCTTTTTTCTCTTTCTGTGTACAGACAGAAAAAAATTATCCAAATGAATATTTCTGTTGAAATATGATGCCCGAAATTTTTCGCAATTACAATACTTATCTAACACCTGCGACATTTAAGATTTATCGCATATGACTATAACCTACCTCCAAGGACCTGGTGTCTGGTTGAGCCGTAACTCCATATGGTTTAAGATCTAAATCTCCTAAACTGCGAGTCATGGCAAGTCTTCCATTTACAAGATGCCTTCCTAAGTTGTCTGTATTAATCATACCACCAGATTTTAATATTCTTTCCTTCAAAATAATAATTAAAATAAATATAATATATATATAATAATTAAATTTTAATACAATAAATATTTAGCCAATATATTAACTAAATATAATTTTAAAGTAAATGTTTATACATTATATGATTTGCATATTATTTAATAAATCTCAAATTCAGTATTAGGCTACGTACATACACTTCACGAAAATAACTTATACATAATAGATCAGGTTCAGTATTAAAATTCATTACATCATAACTGAAATACTAACATATAAATACATCATATTAATTTTATATTCATTATTATAATGATATAGCATATTGTAAATATTTTTCTTTTGGTGGTATAATACACTTTTCCTCTATCATATAATATCATATTATACCCATAACATTTTTATTTAATGCTAATTGTATTTTTCTTTCATAAATACATTTTTCATATCTTCAACATTACTTTATTAATCACACTCGTACCCTGTGTGACACACTTTTTCTAATTTTAAGTATCTAACTTTTTTTTTCACTTTTTTTTTTTTTTTTTTTTTTTTTTTGTCTACAGCTTTGCAACTTCTCACATTTTTATGTTTACTACAATAACTTTAGAATTATAAATGCAGAATTTCTCTCAACTTCAAATTATTTTATTTTAATATTATAGGCAATTTCAGTTTCATAAAACTGTTATCAGATCTGAAAGATATCCACGACTACTTATCAAAAGAAACATTTCTGGGAATTTTTGCTTCTGGGATACCTGATTGGTTGACCTAACGTGAAAACCAGTTCACTGGGGAAGCCAAGGCATCAGTTCTGGCGAGACCATTTCGGCTAGGAACCCTCCAATGGTATAAGCGGGAGTGACCTTGTAGAGAAATGAAGAAGAAAAAAGAGACAAGTGTGCACTGCCCTTGCCAGGACTCGAAGTCATGTAGGGAGGGAAGAAGTATCAAGTGACAGCGAAGGAGAGGAGGGTGAAGGTAGAAGCAGTTTGCTGATAATGTCACGCATGCAGCTGCACTTTATCACATCAAGTACCTTCTGAACTACTTGGGCAAGAAGATAGTGTGCTGACTGACAAAATAATCTTATACAAGATAAAATCACAGATCTTGAAAAAGTCAGTGAAGAAACAAAGTTTTCTGACTGATTTTTTTAATGAAAATTTGAACTGTCAAAGTGATAAAGTTTTTTTTTTTTTTTTTTTTTTTTTTTTTTTTTTTTTTTTGGCATATGTTACCACACTTTAATTTTAGTTTGTTGATAAAGTTGATGTGAATTTTTTACTGGCTTTGGATTAACTGTGATTTTGAGTTAACCATGCATATCCCCTCCTATATTACCCCGGTAAATCAGGAGTTGACTGTAACATGTAATTATGCTAATTCTTAGAACTTACTTTTTCTGACTTTAAATCAGCTGTGTGATCAGTAGTAAGTCTTTTAGTGTCTCCATTCCTGCACAAAAGAGCTCGACTATCTCCAGCATGACCCACCACCAATTCAACACTGTTCCTTAAAAGGCAAACAGTAGCTGTTGTTCCAGAAGTAGTAGCCTCTTTTCCTAAATTAAAAATAATAAATAAGCCAAAAACTAATGTTTATACAGTATTTAAATCCTAATTGATTTCTTTTTTTGTCTATTGAAATACTAAATTTGAACCCCTCTATTATGAATTTCAAGGGACCAGAAATTTGGCTTGTTATATCTATAATTCTTGTTATTTCTATAAGAAAAGTAGATTATCACACAAAAATACAGTGACTTTATATTTGTATGAAAATGAGTAACAATAAATGCTTACAAGTTTTACTTAGAATATGCAAAGTTGTGAAAGAAAAATTTAATAAATTTTGCACAGAATATCATATTTCCCTGTAAAGAAGATGCAATTTTTCTTTAAAAATTATGTGCCTAAAACTTACACAATGATCACTGGCTCGTCTTACAAAATGGTCACGCACCACTGCCAATGGAGACATTTTGTTCGGCACATCCATGTTTAATAAAACCAAGAGTGAAAAATAATCAACAATACATATGAGCCATGCATGTTAAAACCGTTATAAACGTTTTACATTTTATCCAGAAATGGCTTAAGAAAGATTATCATACAGCACTAAATTCAAGTGATCTAGTTTGCAAAATTGAATAGAAGTCATTCTTATTGCACATTTTTTTTTTTCCTTGCATTTTCAAAAATTGATTAAAATTTGAGACCTGCCTTCTACCAGACATCAAGTAGTGCATTATTTTCATAGTTACGAGATCCTTTCATAAAAAAAAGTGTATTAATGAATATGATATGGTCAGCTCAATATAATCAACAAAACAAAAATAGGTTGGAGAAATTACCTAAGAAAAGTTTGCATTCATAGCATTCTAAACAGAGATTCTCATGAATTTGGAAGGCTGAACAAAATAACAGAAATCAGCAAAAGCCTTTCGTTCAAATTCTGCACAAACAATTTGTGCAGCTTTGGTGAGATCACCAAATTTCATTGTTTAATGGCAGCCAACTTTTATGCTTAACAGAATAATACATAAGTACCAAATAACATTAGGCATAAAGGAAATTAGATGGGACCAAAACGTTCATTCATTATATCCAGGAATTCGCTATAAGCCAGGTTTGTTATGGTGGGATTTGAATAGATTTTCAAAAGTTTTAACCAAAGTATTTCAAAACTTGCTTATTAGCAAACCACAGCATGCAAAAGCATTAAAATCTTCAGAGATATATTTATGGTTTAATGCAGGAGTTCTCAACCGGTGGTACCGGATGTAATTTAAAATGTGAAACCTTTGAGATTTTTTTTATAAATTAAATTTTTTTAATCTATTAAATTTAAAAATTAAAGCCCCCAACATCCTGACTGAGTTTTTTCTCTAACACTCGTAAGTTTATGCACTTATGAGCTTTGTTCAAGAATGGTGGTGGTACTAGCACTTTGTAGTGGTGGTACTAAAGGTTTTCAATTTTTGTTTAGATGGTATGCCTTAGTCAAAAGGTTGAGAACCGCTGGTTTAATGAATTGCTTTAATTTTGCTAAAAAAAAATTACCTTGGATTCCTGGAGCAATGGAAAGATTTTGCATTTTATTTTAAAATTACGATTCAAAAGACTAAGATAGTACAAGCAATAACTATCATGGATACTATGCACAAATTTCATATTACTAAAACAAAATTTTACTATTAATTTTGGAAAATTGAATTATATCTATAACATATAGCTCATCTATAAATTATGTTACATTTACTTTTCAACTAGGCTGTCTTACATAATATTTTACCTAAAATATAAATAGAAACATCAGAAAATAAACTTTATTATTTAATAAGTACCTTTAGAACTGAAAAAAGTCATGAAGCAACAGTTTCTCAACTTATTTAAATAATCACCATGGAACTACTCTGATATGCGCCCTAAAATCGCCAAATTTCTTGCCAAATATTTTTGGCGAGAAACTTCACGCTGCCATATTAGTATCTAAATTTTTTGTCTACATTTTGAACTTTTAGCCAAAAATGTCTAACGCGGTTTTCGCACATGCAAAAACTACGTTTTGAACACACAATTTAGCTAAAAATCCGAAACAGAAACAAAAAATTTAGATAGCAAAAATGTAAAGTTTCTAACCAAAAATATTTGACAAGAATCCATGTACTTTGCGACATGTTTTAACTTAAAAAAACATCTACGAATTGCACAATGTAGGCAACGAACAAATCTACAAACTACGCAGACCTCGCTTTAATAAATTAACATAACAACAATGAATTTCAAAGAATACCATGTACACAGCATCCTGTTTAAACTTGAAAAAAATTCTACAAATTGCACAATTTAGGCAAGGAAGGAATCTACGATCTACGCACTCCTCGCTTTAATAAAATAACATAACAACAATAAATTTCAAATAATACCATGTACACAGCGTTCTGTTTCAACTTTAAATACATCTACAAATTGTACAGTCTAGACAATAAACAACAAAATAAACTAAAATAAATTTCAAACAATTTAAAAAAACAACAATAACGACAGAAATTCATACTAAAGAACCAATGAACATAACATTCTACAAAATAAGAACAAGGATAAAATAAAATGCGCTTACCATGAATTAATGCGTTTTCGAATAGCAGAAATATAAATTTCATACCGCCTTTAACATGCCGCCACGTAATCACTATCGCATTTACATGACAGCCAGACACACTATCCAGAAAACTTATACTATGGTTCACAAATAAATAAAATCACAAATCCTTACTTCTATTATGCACTGCCATTAAAAATAATCTCCCAGACCCTCTTTCCACAGTTCCAAATACCCACTACCCCTCAACAGGATAGCCACAATCATATTTCCTTTTGCCGAACTTCAATTCAACAACTACTATTTTATCTTTCCCTCCCATCTTCTCAGACACAGAGGCAAACCAACGAGCTGCAGCGAAAGATTTTTCAACGTCAACAGGGTTGCCATAGAACACGCAATCGCGCCAAAAACCAGCCAGAACACATATCGCCACATTTGGTGAAATTAGGGCGTATATTAGAGTTGTACCATCACCATTGCATTAAATATTAAATCAGGGCAGACCTGATAGAAAACTTGAATTGGAATTAATCCCATTAACTAAAAAAAAGCAAGTTACTCTCTTCCCTCCCCCTTTCTCCCCAAGAAAAAAAGAAATGGCAGAAAACTTAAAAGCAGTACTAGTTTCTCCTCACTTTTTCTGAAATACTCATTTACAAAAATGACTACCAGAAATACCACTTTACTTTGTTTTTAAATGCTACATGCATTTTCTTGATGACTATTCAGAGTCATTCTATTATAAATAATTGATTCTATTTATAAACCCGATGTATAATTGATTCTATTATAAACCCAATGTAAACAGTTCTTAGGAATTTAATACAGAAAATATATATACATACAAGTTAAGACGCATTTCAGAACAACTCTTACACATTCCCCCCCCCCAAGAATAAAATTACACTACTTAAATAGCTATTAACACATTTTCATACATTACATATGGCTACTTCATTAAAATCTATATTGATATATTTCATTACTTAAATATTGTAGCAAAAGTAATATTCCTCTAAAGACATTTTAAAATAGTGTATGATACATACGATTACATTTTCCATGATAAAGAAAATAAAAATATCACAACAGATGGAACTAAAATCGATTAATTGAATGGAAAATGAGTTGAATAACAGTTTTAACACAATTTGCTCGCTCAATAAAATGTATTATCTGAAAACAGACGTTGGTCCATAAACAACTTTAAACATCTAAAAATTTAAATTTCTGTCTGGAAAACTCATTAAAAATGTATGAGGAGCTGTATACGTTATGATCAAATTTCTATGAATTTTTCAAATGACTTTTTTTCGAAAAAATATTTCCAATATATGGCTCCATGGATTATCCCACATAAATGTATTAAATGAATATATATTTCTATTGTTTGTTATTCATGTATTGAAAAACAATTATATATTATACAAAAAGTGTATATATATATACTTTTTGATTTTTTTTATTATTATATACATGTGTGTGTAATAAAAAGGCTTTGCAATATTGATGGTGTAGAATGTAGAAGGTTGAATTTGTAATGAAAAGCAAGAATTTTGATTTCATATAATGCTAATCCATAATGAACAAGAAACTGGCAGCTGAGGCATATAGAATCTTTATTTTATTTTTAGTAAACATGTTGCTGTCACAAACAACTTCACATATTATTTGCACCTATTTTTAAAAATGTTTACATTTTTTATAGATTTGTAATAAGAATGGAGCAGCAGACAGCAGTCCAGTTAGGCTGAATAGTATAAAGTCAGTGCCTTATATTCAGGATGAAATCTTAATTCACCGACTTAGTTTTGGTTCTCAGTGCATTTTGATTGGATAATTAATACTTCTGTAAAATTATTATTGGCTGTTTCAATTTTAGTTCCATTTACATCGTCAGAATTACGTAAGAGTCATGTGCCAGGGATTAGTCTTGAAATGATACAATGCAAAGAGAAATAACTATTTTTAGAACAGATTGTGACGCTAATTTAAATTATAATTAATCTTTTACATGTTCTTTATTTTTCTAACATAAACTCTGAATTTAAATTAGCAAGTGCCCCTTAATTCCTCTTTTTAATTCGAACACTTCTCCCTTTCTATTCTAAAAAGAACTTTTTCAAAATTGCATCTAACTGAAGCATGATGTCCATTTTTAACCTTCTGCACTGTGTATAGTTCTTAGCCACTCAGATTAATGAAAAATGTTACTATAAATACCGCTGCAATCCAACTATGCACTCTCGTTTGTTGCCTTGAATAACGCACATCTCTTCACTTATTCAAATTCTTCTATTGTTCTAAAATGTATCTGCATATAAAAAATTGTGCATGGCTAATACATCCATAATTATGAGTAAGGAAAGTATTGCATCTTCAATACTATCCAATGATAAAATTATGTTGAATTCAGCCACATCTGTCTGCAAGTCCATCATTCTGCCTAGGTAGTAAATATGTTCAAGTTACATCTACGCTACTATTGCCAGTTCATTACAACCATCGCCTACAAAGTTATCTCCGCTGTGACAATAAAAGTGAATTGGTTTCATCTTTTGTCAAAACTACAACATCACACACACATATATATATAGTTAGTGAGAAGCTTTAAGGAAACTCAATTCATCAATTAAACAAATATTATAGATAACTTCTGCAAAAACAAATTCAAAATTGCACTCAAGCAATCACCAACTATGATTAGCTATCAAAGATTTGTTTACCTATCCTTTTTTTAAAACACAGAATTCATATTTTTTACTGTGAAATTGGAATTCTGTTTGAATTTGGCTGATATATGTTAAACCACAAGATGTGCTTAAATTCCCCAAGAATTAAAATCTGGGATGGGAGCTTTAAGAATCAATCAAATTTACTAATAAAAGAAAAAATAACCTGAGAGTTGAACTTCTGTAAAATATAAAAAATTTTGCAACTGACATGAAAATCAAATAGGATAGCAAGTGACATGTCTTTTATGATGGCAAAAAAAGAATATTTTAAATGCCTTATCAATAACCATGGTAGAAAAATTTTCAGTTAACAGTACGATTTCAGTAATTAATCTTCAAGAAAAAAAATTTTGAGGATCAAACCTTCAGAGCATAATATATAGAAAACTAGAAAGAAGTCCCTTTTTGTTTTTCATTTAGCAGAGTGATTGATTTTAGATGACAATTTTGCTTAGATTTAAATTTTATTTTGGTATGTTTTTCTTTCAATTAAATAATCAAGAATTGGGTTGCAGAGTGATTGATTTTAGATGACAATTTTGCTTAGATTTAAATTTTATTTTGGTATGTTTTTCTTTCAATTAAATAATCAAGAATTGGGTTGAAATTGTTAGTCACTAGCCTGAAGCCTTAGGCACCACTGAAGACAAAATGGCTTAGCCCAACTCCTTCCCAAATATTATCTATGTTCTACTCCTCCCTTCCCCTGTCATCAATATCTTTATATGGACTTTTGGTTTAATACATTTTAAACTTTGCCATGCTGCAAAGATTTTATACCTATGCCTTTCCCATGACATGAATTAACAATATATCAAACAGCTTTGTTAATTATCATATTGTCACTAAATCAGCATAAATAATAATAATAAAATACATTAGCCAGTTGCATAATCTTATATGAATTTTAAATGATTATTTAAAAATACATACTGGAACAATTAAATATTATGTGTCTAGCATAAGCATTGTTGACTTCTTGAAAAGAAAACTGTAGAATGGTTTGTAAATCTTTCTCCCCTCGAGCTAGCCAGTACAGGATGTTATCTTCCATATGCTCGCTACAGAAATCAGCACATTCAGGCCCACCATGACCATCATATACAGCAATATACAACAATTCAGGTTTCAGTTCTTTCACTCTAAAATTAAAATAGGAATATATGCATGCACTCTGATCTAAAAAAAAAAGAAACATTGGTATTTTTCTGTTAACAGGATCCAAATCAACTAACTGTGCAGCAAACATGGCAGCCCTACATCGCATCATGAAAAGCTGCGCAATGATAACATATAAAATGTTTAATGCACAATATGCTAAAATTACATGATGCCGAATTTGTACAATTCTTTGATGTTTTTTAAGGAAAATATCAGAATTGTACAAATTCGGCACTGTCCACATTAAATGTCATATATACTATATCATTACATTTGAAACAGTTATTTTTTTCATAAAGCTTTATTTACTGTTCGGGTTGCTACCATCCAGATTTTTGCAGCAACGTTTATGTTTGGTGACAAGTAGCATCCTGTTAACAGTTAAGTGCCAAGAAACCATTAATAACTCACAATGGTTAATTTTTTATAGATACGTTTATTTAATAAGAGTAACAAAAACTGAAGTTCTATAATGCTACACAGCATAAATATTTAATGGTCTATAATTCTAGGTTGAAACACTTTACATTAAGGAAATATTATACCTAAACAATTCTGAATAAACAAAAATAAGATTTTGAAAAATGTAAAACAGCAAATAAGATTTTGAAAAAAGCAAATTAAACCTCCCCCCTTTTTTCTTTCTTGTATGGTACATGGCAAATGAAGTGTACAATGCAAGGGGTGCAAGGGAAATGAAGTGTACAGAATGAAGTGTACAGGTTTCTTGTACAGTGCAAGGGCAGGGAAATGAAGCTAAATTTACAGTTTAATCCTTTGGTAACATTCAATTCAGATATCATCAAAAGCTGACAATCTGGCGAACAGTTTGAAGCACAAAAATAACTGCCAAAATATTAAGGAGGCAGTTAAGTTGAAGAAAAATGCAAGGAAAAAATAACACAACTGATATTTGTAAAATTAGAAATCTTTAAGGTGAATTAAACAATTTGCAAAAAAATCAGAAAAAAAAAAAAAAAAAAAACTTGATTAGCAAACTAAGATCAACTCTTTTACATCAAAGTTGCCCCAAACGCCTGAGCATTCAGACAGCATCAGGTTTCATGACTGCCTGAATAATTTCCTACCCAGTGCTTTCCCCCCATCACGTTACTGCATTTCTCATTGCTTTCAGGAGTTGTTAAATGACATGTCAATCATTTCTTTCAAGTGACTAAAAGTAATTCTGTTATTTTAATGCATCTTCCTTTTTCCTTTATTTACTGTCAATGTTTAGCTATTCATGCCCGAAGTTGCAATCCCATCCCAAGGGGGAACTTCACACAGGGTGAGAGTCCAAGAAAGAAGTTGTGCTTTACTTAAGTAGGTTATTGTTAGTGCTGTAGTATTCAATTTATCATGGGGCAAGGAAAAGCATTCCAACAGAAATTCGTATAGACAGGCGTTTTCAACGTTTCAGGAAAAGAGATTTGGTCCTCTTACGATGTGAAACACAGAGGCATGAAACTGCAGACATAATTTTAAATGTCTAAAAACATTTGCGTTTTAGGAATGTTGCTGCTGACGCATAAACTCAAAAAGGATCTAATTGGTTACAATCAGTGAAGTACTGACCTTTATCTTACCATTTCACATTGTCCCATAACCTTTTAATGGTTTGCATAGGACAACCAGAATCAGGAGTGATAAAACTGTATTTAAGGTTAATACAGAAATGTTCAAATTCAGCCTCTCATTATTCTTTTAGTTATATACTTTTCAACAGTCTGAGTATATTCTAGAGCAGAGTTTCTTACATTTTTTTCAGTCGCGACCCCCTTTTATCACTGACATTTTTTCATGACCCCCCAGGACAACATAATATTTACAAAAATTTTGTGGGACCCATAAGTATTGCACAAATCCAACGCACGCATGAGTGAAATTGTCAATTTTTCACTCGTACTGTAATATACTATTGCAGTTTTAGGTCATTAACTGTAATTTCTATTTTAAGACATAGAACAATGTGAAAATTTTAAATACGTAGCAGATGAAATGACAGCATCACGTGCAAAGCAAAGAAAATTAACATTTATATTATAAAAAGAGAAATGTGTCAAAACGTTTTTTTTTTTTTTTTTTTTTCTTTGTCTGCATTGTCTTATCTTTACCTATTTTCAGATACATTGTGTAAAAATATTTGGTAATTGTAAAATTATTATAATAAGTTAAAGAAATATCAAAACTGCTAAAAGTTTTGGCAAACCCTGCAGCAGGCTGGGGGTTGCGACCAGTTTAAGAAACCCTGTTCCAGAGCCATCAATAACATTTTCTTCAATAACTTTAAGCAAAGTTCTTGTACAGCTGTTAGGCACAGCAACTAAAAAACACTTTTTTGTTTAACTAGGATACAATAACACACCGAACAAGTATTAATTTAGAAGTCAAACAACAAAAATCGTTATATTTTTCAAATTTTCACAGGACTAGTTTCGATGGTTTTACCAAACCATTACCACCAGGGCGGAAGGACACGACCAACTTTTTTTTCAATGCAAAAACAGACTTCCATTAATTTCGATAATACACAGCTATGACAAAATTCACCATTGGAAGCACAAATTGTACAGCTCACTTAGTAGGTGAGTGATAATTAGTAGGTGAATCATAATGGGTGCAGAGTTATTCCAGAGGATGCTATAAAGAGCTTTCAAACAATGCATTTATCATACGAATTTTGGCTCTAATGCTAAAAAATTTGCTTTCCCATGGTCTTCACAGCATTAAGGAAACTAGTTTGTGATTGCATTTGGCCATAACTGTGACTGCATATAAACTGCAGTCTTTTGGCTGATCCTTCATCTAAATTAAAATTTTTGATTGACACAGTAGTAGAAATTTCCATGCTTCCAGTAAATCATATCAAATACCCTACTGTGAATGAGGGATTAGTTGTTTGTCACAAATGGAACAGAAATCCGAACCTTTGGTGTCTGAATGTCTCATTCTCGATTTAAATGTGCAGCGAATGTTCACTTAGTTTTTCATAATTGGCTAAGTTAGCCAACCTACCATAGGCACTGGTTTTCTAAAGAAGTTTAATTTATTTGTTGGTGCTCAAAATAATAGTATCATTAATACTAAGACCATACTTCATTAATACTAAGACCATGCTGGGTTGCAGTGCCTTAAATATATATTCAGATCTTGCTAAACTTCATATATAGCCAAACAGTCACCAAATCATACTGTCTTTCAACACATAGAGACCAAGAGGCCTCCAGTATTTTCTAAACTGCATCAGCTGTCACCTGAGCTCCTTGTGGCTGCTCACCAGGAATCTTGAGTTTGTCTTGGTAAAGGATGTCATGAGTCTGTCAAAGAGCGATTGGGAAAAATCCCTTCATACAGTTTAAAAAAAAAAAACAAATGGTACATGGTGTCCCTACAATGATTAATTAGAATGCCATCACTGTTCCAGACCATTATCCCCTATCCCATATCCAAAACTTTACCTACATATTTTGCAGCGAAAGAGTATTTATAACATTGGATTTATATCAAGTGTATTGTCATATCCTTGTTAATCCAACTGACATTTGTAAAATTGTAAAAACTACTGTAACAACCACATTTGGTGTATCTGAACTTCTGTTTATGCTATGGCCTCTGTAATACAGGGCAGACTTGTCAGAGGTACGTTCATAGGTGTTAGGTGACCCAGATTTTTGTATACCCTATATGAATGATATTCTAATCACATTCTAATCACATTGTTAAATGAAGAGAATCATGAGAGCCACCTTAGACAAGTTTTAGATCACCTCACTGAAACTAAACCCAGATAAATTTGTTACAGAAAAATTCTCTGTAACCTTCCTGGGATACCCCATAACATCTGAGGGAAAACAGCCCACAAAAAATTTAAGAAACAGCTGAATTTCCAAAATCAGACATTATTACAAAGTTAAGACATTTTTTGCAATGCTTAATTTCTGCCATCATTTCATTCCAAATGCTGCCAAAACTCAAGCTTCCTTACATAAACACTGTTTAAAGTCTTAAAAAATTACATAAAAGACAAAGGCTGGTTCCGTGGGATGATAGTTTAATGCACGCATATAAGACTGATCTTTTGAATTCAACAACTCTAACTTACCATGCTCTTCATCAACAGCTATTCCTGATAGCTAATGCTTCTAAAATTGCTATCAATGATACATCAAATGTATTAACTAGTAAAGACTTGCAACCTCTAGTATTATTTTCAAGTAAATTGAGACTTACCGAGCAAAAGTCAGCATCTACAAGAGACAAGCTCTTAGCAATCTATTCGCCTGTAAAACACTTTTGACATAGTTTTGTAGGCAGGCATTTTACAGTACACACAGACCATAAATTCTTGATCTTCACTTTCCCAAAACAGTCTGACTCAAGTTTCCTTCAACAACTCAGGCAGCACAATTATGTATCACAATTCAGTAAGGATATCAGATATGCTACTGGATCCAATAACAGTTTGGCTGAAAATTTCAGTAAGTATATCAGACATGTTACTGGATCCAAAAATATTTTGGTTGACACTTCACTCATATAAAAGAGATCCACCTGGCTTTAACCGATTTTTCCACTGTGAACAGCACACTTAAGATACCCAGTTATTTGACCTACTTGCCTAGTCTGATGCATCAATTCCAACTTTTGCAAATGTGTCCTAATTTAAAACTTACAATCTTAGCACTGGAAAAGTTCAACTGCATGTTCCAGAGAACTTAACATTACTCAGTCTTCTTTACAGACCTGCACTGTCTCATCCAGCATTAAAGCCTCTCATCAACTTATTCAAGAATGATTAGTATGACTAGGAATGCTAAAAAGACATACTGAAATGGGCTGGACACATCATGCACAGACAGTCAGAGGCTGAAAATTCATTGGCACACTCTTAAGCCCTTAACAATCGTTTGCTGTTTTGTACCCCTCCATGGGTCCTCCTTTAAGGGGGAGGAACGGTAACATAGGAGTCAGATGTTATGCA